AAGTGTGTTTAAATCAAGACACCTCATGTCAAATTCCTTTCGTGGTTTCGAGCAGCCGTCCAAGTTCCAGGCAAGCAATGTGGTTCACCTTGTGCCCAAAGGTGAGGCAATCGACCAACCCTGGCGTGCCAGTACCGAAGCAACCGGTAACTTGTTAGTTGAGCATGTCTCAAAACAAGGAACCCCTTGTGGGGTCCATTTGCAGGATTTCAATCAGGAACTCTCCATTCTTCGGGGTCTCCTATTTTGAGACAAACCCATGTGTATGGCAAAGTTGTCCATGAGGCAACCACAAGCCTTTCCCGGCATTTCTGAGCTGGAAACCAGAGCCCAAGAACAACGAGGAAAGTCTTGAGGTTAAAATTCCTTGCGCTCTAATATTTAAGAACATGTGTTTTTTGTTTCCCATGTTGGTTGTAACAGGAATCTCTCACTACCAGAAACAGTGTGTCTTTTTCCCAGGGGGCAATCAAGAGCGAATGGAGGATATTTTCTCTGGGTCCTCCGCCTAAAGGAAGCTTCCGCCGCCGAAGCCCGGGCAAAGTCCAGAGGTACATCACGGAAGAGTTGGGCCGAAAGCTTGATAGCATCGAGCCCGAGGACTTTGGTGCCTCGGACGGGGTGGACTTGCAAGGGATGTGTGTCTAAAATAGGCAACAAGATGGGTCCCTTAGGTTGTAAAATGGAGCTCGGAGCTTCCTAGTTCACCCCTAAATCCGTGCCCTAAAAGGAGAAAAACAAGCTCGCTGTTAGGTTGCCAGGCTGTTCCCTTTTGCCTTGGGCAGCTTTGGGGTCCTCTCTAGGCCCAAACAAGCTCTGGGGTGGTTCGGAGCAGCTTTTCGGGAGGGTTCCACAAGAGTTCCGGGGCTGTGCCATCTAAGCGGACAAATACCAGGGTGTCGGTATTGCCAAGCTGTCGGCACATCTTGCTTGTCAGCTTAAGAGTTTTGTTGGGATGTACCGCCAGGGCGTGAATCATTGGAACGGGGCCTGTGGGTATTCATATATATATATTGTTTAGCCCCTTCCTGGACCTTCAAACGAAACTGAAATTTCTGCCTCCCCTGTCAATCGGCTGGCTTTTGGAATTCGCACTTGTTTTTCTTGGCTTGTCCTCTTTTTTGGACCTCGAGCAGTGTTTGGAGGCATGCGGGCTGTCAGGTCCTAATATGACCTGCTCGAGCAGAAAATTGTGTGCAAGAGCGCCCGCAACGGCCCGCAAAACGAGCGCAACAACACGTAAACGAACGCAAAAAAATAAGTGCTCATTTGAAAATATAAACCTGGGGCACTTGTCCATTGCTCGGGCAGAAATTGAAGAATCGGGCACAACCTGTGTGTTTGAGCAGAAAGAAAGCGAGCAAAAAAGAAGGTATCAATGGAGGGTTCAGGATTGTATTTCTCTACCGCCTTTTTGGGGTTGAGTCAAGAAGGTCAGGTCAAGAAAGTCAGGTGAAGAAGGTCAGTTGGTAAGCGAGTAGGTGGCTGTGTTGATGCCGAGTGGGCAGTGGTGCCGATGCTGCAGGGAGGTGTTGACCAATGGTGCCCCCTTGAGGGTCGGGACCCTAAACTGGCGGGGCAGAAGGACACCATCGCTTCCAGCCCAGATGTTCGGCAACACATGCGCTTTTATGTGGTTTGATCAGATTCGGATGAGCGTGGTGTTTGGCTGCTTGGATCGGGTTTGCCGCTAGTTGCATCTGTGTTTGGCATTGGTTCAAGCAAAGTTGAGATGGGCCAGTTTGGCTCGGAAGCAACCCCAAAAAGGGTAATTGCGCTGAACAAAAGAGGGTCTCATGTGTAGGGACTTGGGATCCTTGCTGCCGAAGCGCTGACCCAGCGGTTCCCCCTCCCCGCCATTCGCAGGAGAGACATAAGAACCAAACCCGGCTAAGCACCTCAACTAGGCGGTCCCAGTCACCCAATTATGCTGCTTCTCAGCAGGGAATTTTATTCGGGTTTGAGAACCATAAAGGGATGAAGGAAACTACCAGTTGCGTTCAGCTTGGGGTCACTCCCTCATGCCCTACTCATGGACCCCCACCCCCCCTCCCAAGGCTTTCCTGGGGGTCCATGACCTACGGATCGAAGCAGCTCCTTTTTTCATCCGCTCTCGACCGGCGTTGAGGCACTGCCCGGCGCATTACCGTGAGCAAGGCGCATCGGGTGGGTTCAGCTCGCTCCCTGGAGCTGGGCAAAGATCAATCGCGTTGCTACGTAGAGAGCTGTGCGACGTCCTCGAAGGAACGTTTCTTGGGAGCTCCAATTCTTACTGTTGGTCGGTGTTTTTTGCTTCGGGACTTCCATCGCTTGCTTTTGGTCGGTGATGTTTCTTGAACTTTGCCCAGAAAGGCGGGAACTCCTTTAGCCTTTGAAGGCAAAAGGGTCTAAGGACCCTAGACCCTTGTGATTGACGGTTGTTGAACCCCGCTTACTCTCCAAGTTCCTTGACCTTCCGCTTTTCGGGTTACGGTTTCGTGACGAACCAGTGCGGCTACTTTCTTGTTTGCCCACCACCTGATTCCTTATTTCCGGATTGTGAGTTCTAGCAAAGGGTGTTTTTCTTCTCAAATTTGTTTGGACCCCCCCAAAATGGTTGGTTTCCCATTGGGGTCCTTTCAAACCCAAAGAACTGCAATGATATGGGTTTGGTTGGCTTGCTGTGGGGCTCCCCCTGTTTTCCTGAAAGGTGCGTGTCCTTTGTACTATAAATGATGGGCAAAATCGCTCTTGTAGGTGGCTGCCCCTTGTAACTTTAATGCCTCGGCCATCCTTGCTCAAGTTGCAAAGTGACAAAACACGCCTTCTGTCAAAGCGCTGTGCCAGCTCTTCCCCTGCATCGAAACGATGCACGGAAGAAGCGCTTTGGAACCCTAACCCCAGGGTACACGGGGTGTGGGGGTGTGCGACGAAGTATCTGAACAGGTTGTTGCATTTTTAGTTAATTTCAAAATCTAACATTCCACAAAAGCATCCGAACCATTTGCTTGCCCACATTTGGTGGACAAAATCTCAATATGCATCGAATATGGTTCATACTTGCCCTCCTGTCCTCTAACATGGAACCCACCAGAGGTTTCTTTTGAAGGAACATAGTCTTCCAGGACCCCCCAGTCAGGTACCCTGTTGGTGAATGGGAGGGTAGTCCACCCTGTACAACATAGAATAGTCTTGCAGGAGAGCCCATGACATCCGTGACACACGATTGGATTGCCAAGTTTGACTGAAACCGCAAAGCCTTGAGACATGGCTTACACTTTGGTTTGCCTTTGCAACATTTGGGACATCGACCTCAGACTATTGGCATTTCAAGCGTTGTCAAGCTTGCACTATGTCTCAAAATGGGGAGCCCCGGTGATGACTCTGGGGTCCTTTCAAACCCAAAGAGGTGTTCCCAAGACGAGCCCAGATCAGTTGCCCCAGTCGTGCCAGGACGCTACCACCATCGTGGCAGACGCACCCAAAGAGGCCCTGGAGGAGCGGTGCGAGCAGCTCAGGAGGCGCGCTGGGGTGTAGCCCGATTTGGGTGTGGCCCTCGTTTTGACTCACCTTCTGAGTTCATGAACTTTAAACTTTTTGGGAAGACCATTTTAGTGGTAAATTTAAAGTTTGGACTGTTTTTGGGGGGCCATCCACTCAGCAAATGGGGGCCGTCCGCAAATGCTAGTCTTCAGTTTATGTATTCGGGTAGCTTGTTATTTGTGCGCGATTGGTAACACCTGCATCGCGAAAGGCCGGCGATTGGGACTGCGATTGGGGTAGCATCTACATGTTTGGGTGACCCCTCATTGGAATCGCAAAACATGTTGTTACATCAACGGTTGGTTGTCGCCCGTACATATTTGCAGACCCCGCTCCCCTGTAGACAGGGAGATGCGCAGCACCTTGTCGGCGACATGCCTGACACTCACACAAGCTTGCAGTGGACTTGTGGTAGACACCTTGCCTCAGCCCCTCCTCAGCTACGCAGTGTAACGGCCATACCAGTCTCACCAGGAAAGTCGGCGAAATTCGCGATTGGCCCGCGATTGTACGGCGATTGGCCGGCGATTGACGAGCCCGTCAGGACCAGCGGGTGCCCTTCCGTGGCCCTGCTGCTGGCACTGCTGCTGGTGCTGGTGCTGGTGCTGGTGCTGCTGCTGCTGCTGCTGCTGCTGCTGCTGCTGCTGCTGCTGCTGCTGCTGCTGCTGCTGCTGCTGCTGCTGCTGCTGCTGCTGCTGCTGCTCCTGCTGCTGCTGCTGCTGCTGCTGCTGCTGCTGCTGCTGCTCCTGCTGCTGCTGCTGCTGCTGGTGCTGCTGCTGCTGCTGCTGCTGCTGCTGCTGCTGCTGCTGCTGCTGCTGCTGCTCCTGCTGCTGCTGCTGCTGCTTCTGCTTGTGAGATGGGAAGAAGTTACCAAGTTTGCTCCGCGATTGGCCCCGCTGCGGTCGCGATTGGAGCGCGAAAGGCCGGCGATTGGAGGGTTTCCGGGAAAAGTAATATAGGATAACCCCCAAATGAGTTGAGGATACCCTTGTAAGGTTGGTGTTTCATGGACGCCAAAAGGAAACCCATCATTTTCGGGGGTCCGATAAAAAGAATGACACGCCCATGTTGCGAGGCGAAGGGTACCCAGACGGAATCTGGGATCCGATTATGAGAGAAACCAACCTGTTGACGGTGTATTTTCTGATCGGGACCCCCCCCTCCCCTTTTGAATGGGTTGAAAGGGAAACCGAAAGGAAGCCTCGAATCCCTCTTTTTTGACGCCCAGCAGTGTGTCTAGGTCTTTAAGCCCCACTGGAATGCGATTTATTTGGTAGGCCTGAGGTTTCTTATAATTTACTCAGTTGCCCAAAGCGACCTGATCTGACAGTTTGGTTCCCCGTTGGTCCATATTTGGAGGTTCCAACAGTGGTCTAGTTTGTATTTCCAGGTCCTCTGGGCAAGTGAGACACCCATTTTAGAACCAAAGCCAACGGCTTGTAAGCGCTCGCTGCTTTATGCACGTGGTGTTAATTGAAATGCGCGAGCTTGTCTAACCTCTTTTCAACCAATGTCGACCCCGGATTGAGGGACTTCGCGGTGCTTCCGCGCAGCAGTGGAGGTTTCCCGTTTGGAATGCCCTCAAAAAAGTCACCCAGGGTTTATTGGTCCTTGCTTTCCTGCACTAGGGTATCGAATTTCTGGTGGTTTCTGTTCTCTTGTGGAACTATAGTCGGCTTCATGTGGTTTCGCGTGAAAAGTTGGTTTTCATGGGAGAGCCAAGGGCATGGTTTCGTGGTCTTCTCCAATTTAACCCACTAGAAATACACTCTTGGCAGGGGAACTGAAAACGGACGGCAGAGTTAGTTCCCAACCAATTGGTTGCAGGCAGATCGAGGAGACGAAAAGCTCTTATACCAAAGAGCAGCTCGAGAAGCGGCTCGCCAAGCTGGTGGGAGGTGTCGCCCTCATCAAGGCCAGAGCAGAGTCGCGTCGGCCTCGATTCAGCCAGGTGGAGCCGGGAGTCAGCCCGCTCCTCTGGTATGTTGTGTTTTAGTTGACCAAGTATGAGACAGAATCTGAGTATACGTTTTTTGCTGTACCCCAAGCAAAGGTTGAAGTGCTTGGCTTTGTGCTAACCCCTCGAACTGTGCGGATGGGCTGAAGCAACCAGCTGTCATGGACCCTTTAAAGGGCAAGTTGTTTAAACTGGGTGGTTGGCACAATCCAGGTGATCGGTACAGCCTGCGCCCGGTACATCTCTTGCAAATCAACAGTTAGTCGGCCAGCAAGCAGTTGAACCGGTTGTTCGGGCTGGACGTCTCACCGTATGGGATGTTCACTTGTTTCTGTGGCCGATTTGAAACAATCCTAGCCAAGACCCCGCAACGCCTGAAGCCAAGGATTCAGTGACAAAACTGTTTGGCCACCAGAGAAGGGGCGACAGTTTTTCACCACTGCGAACTTGTTTGGTAGCGTACCTTGGATTACCTTGGATTACATCTTTGGCAACTGGAACGCGACAACCGCTTTCTACGACCGTGACATACCATTTGTTTGTTCGGATCTGCCACCCACAGAAAGGGATCCATTTGACATTGTCATTCGTATTATTCGAAGCAGTTGGGAGAAAGTAGACATCACCCCCTTTACTGACCAAAAGGATTTTTTGCCTCTACTTTCAATCTGGGGATGCTCTTCTTGTCCCGTTCACCATCAACAAGTTTCTCTCCTTTTTGCAGGGTCAGATTTCTGCCAGGTGGGTGCCACCACTGAGACAGAGCTCAAGGCGCGTTTTGCGCGGGGTCCAATGGCCATGGGGGTGTCTTGTTCTGCTGAGTTGGTACCCTGTGCTTGTCTCTTTTAAAGGGAAAACCAAAGGAAATTCACAAGTTGTCCGGCTCCCCTTAAAAAACCAGATGGTTTTAAGCATTACCTCTTGAGCCAGTGTAAAGTGAGGGCCCCCCGGGTAGGCGTGACGTTTGACGGTGAGTGTGCGAACCCCGATTTTGGTGAATGGTTCTACTTGGCTTTCTGGGTATTGTACTTACGCATTTGTAGAACCACGTTGTTAGAACCAAAAGCCAGAATCGGTTTGTCGGGGTGTAGCCAGGATATTGAATCTTGTTTGACTGGTGTTGGTCTTGGGTCTAGGTTTCTTGTTCGGTGGGTCTTGGTTGGCCTTACTCTTTGGGTGAGTCTTTTTAGGAACCGCCAAAAGATAAAAATAGTAATAATAACAATAATGATCTAGAATATTATGTTTTTCCTTTTGGTTTCCTTTAAAACCAACCACGAAAGCTGTACCACCTCCAAAGAAGTAGCCCCCCCTTCCCACCCCCGGGTGTGTAGAGGCCAGCGAAAAGCTCGGAATCGCCAGGACAAGAAGCTGAGACTCGAGGATGCCATCAACGCCACCAAGGCAAAATCGCGCGCTCGGGTCAGCCGGGTCAGCCGGGTCAGCGGGTCAGCCACTCGGCTCGGCACGCCTCAAGGGGGTATGGGTCAAGATGAAACCAGGAATTGGACCGCAGGTGCGGGTCCTTGTTTCCATTTGCCAGGGTTCCATTTTGGGGTTGCCCCATTTTTTGACCCTGCCGTTGTTTTTTGTTGGTCTGGTGATTTGAGCGATCCCTGTAAATGGCACAGTGGTTTGTCATTGAGCTACCACTAAAAGGTTGGTAGGGATACTGGAGTCAATAGGGTAAAACAAGTGTACAAGCGAAGGCGAGTCTTTAACACGATGGCTTTCAGCCAACTGTTAGTAATTGTCGTTTTGAGGCACGGGCGTGGATTCTCAGAGCCCCTTTCTAACAGGGTCTAACGTCCACTGAATAGACAAACTCAGTGCGTTTTGCTCCCCCCTCCACCCCACCCCCTTGCCTCGGTCGCACCGCAGGCGGCAGTGGATGAGGGCATCGTGCCGGGGGGCGGCGCCTGCTTGCTGGGGAAGCCCAGGTGTGCAGAGCCCAAATAATCGGGTTCCTTTGGCCATCTAAAGCCTAGCTGGCTGAATGAGGATGATAGCAAAAGCCCTTCCCGGGTCTCAAAATAGGAAAACGAAAGGACAGCAAAGGACGAAAAGGTGACCCTCAAGAAAAAGTGTGACTGGTGTTGGACTCTCAGGTGTCCCTTTCTGAGTGTGCAACCCACGCAATTACCCTCCCACAAACATGGCACCTGACAGGGGTCCCTTCAAGATGAAACGGAAGGGCAGTAGGTTCAACACAATGGTGATGATTAAGTGGGACAGCTGTGATTGACTATTGTTGCGTTGTTGTACCATGCAGCTCACCTGTTCACAATGTTTTGGCCACCCAAGTATGTGAGTGCGTGTTTTTGCCCAAGTTTGATTCAACTGACTCTTGCTGTTGTGTTCTGCTTTCACTATCACAGTTGAGCCTTGTCGCGAAAGAGGGTAACATCCGTACGGTGGAATACCCTTACAAGCATGGGATCCTGAGGCGGCCGGCAAGAAACCCATCTGCCAACAGGGCCCTCCATGGTTATTTCTCATTTGGTAGACCGCGGCATTGAGAACAGTCCTTGACCTCGAGGAGTTGTATTTATTTTCAGGGACCTTGCCAGCACCCTCGAAGACTGTCCCCCTGAAGGCCGCAAGTTTGGTTGCAAGTCTGGTCTTACAGGCAAATTGCTCCCCCCGCCCCGTATGATGGACACTTAGAGGTTAGTTTGCAGCCTGGAACCTTAGAAACCAATACCCTAAATGAAGGAGGTTGCAAAATCGACCCTAAGTGTCCATGGCCCCCCCCGCCCCCCCCAAAGTTTAAAAGCGGGGTCTGTGGGCTTGGCTACCGTTTTGGCCTGGGAGGTGGCGGGCAGGAGGTTGGGGGCGTCACGTGCCGAGGTGCCACATGTCCAAGTCCGTGCGGGAGTGGGCAATGGAGAACCTCAGCGAGGATCGTGGTCCAGGGGTCGCAGGGTCCGTCCATTTCTTTGGTCTCCGAGATGATTCAATTCTTCAAGGTTGACTTAGCAAGCAGAATCTCAGCATATGTTTGGTGTACCCCATATTTGGGCTGCATGTTCAATATGCCTCCGTCAAGCAGTTACCATACCCTCCGTAAAAACATGCTCAAAATGTAAGTAGTGTGAAAATTGGAGGGCCCCTCACGTCCCTCCCAATTTGATCTTGTTTTGAAAGATGGTTGCAAGCTTTGATCCCATCGCTTTTTTTTTACGAAACCACCCATTTGCCGAGAGTACTTAATAGCCAATTTCTGAGGAGGCTGTTCCCTTAGCAGAATGTGAAACCGCACCTCCGGGACTGCTGGCTGTATGAGGGCCAGGCAAAGCTTCCAGTAGTCGATGGATCATCTATGTTGGTTTGGGAGGGACATGGAGGGACTCACTAAATTCCTGAAAACTCACTTGCTTGGGTATGGGTCAAAATTAAACCACCAGGAATTGGACCGCAGGGTTTAGTCCTTGTTCCATTCACCAGGGGTTCCATGTTGGGCTTACCCTATTTTGGGCCCCACACCCACTTCACGCCTCCATGCTTGGTGGATCACGAGGACGAGCTGAAGGGGGCGCTGATCGTGGCTGAGTCCATGTCCGCTCCCATGAAGCGCATCGCGGCCCAGCCGGCGATTTTTCCGGGTTTGGGAGCTTCTTACAGCACAGGATTCCAACCCCCGGCTCCAACCCCCCGCTCCCCCTTTTTTTGCCAAGCTTTAGGAATCAACGGGAAGGGGAGCAACTCCCTTCCTGTCTTCTTTCGGTCTTAGGAAAGAATGTGTCTTGCGCGGGAGGGGAAGTTGTCATCAGCAGACCTTTTCCTTTTCAAGCTAGCCGCTTTGAAAGTGTACCGCATTGTTTCCTGGGCAGTTTCAACAAATCCCAACCTGCCACTCCCCTCTAACCGTTTGCCCCTGATTCCTCTTTCGTTTGGGGGGGTTGGAAACCCAAAGGCTGCCAGCGTGTTGTTTTTGTTTTTGTGAATTTGGTGAGGACCTGGGCGTAAAACGAGTGCGCCATGACGTAGGCCCTTTGCTTGAAGATCCAACTGGTTTCAGGATTTGGTAGATGGAGCCCACGCGAGCCATGCGCCATTTGGAGGAATCGCCATTTGGGGGACCCCCTATTTGGGTTCAAGCGCAGGAGCTGACGATGCGCAAGCTCTAACAAACACTGCGAAGATACAGCGATTGCTGTCCGGCTATCCCGAATATGGAGTGTGGCTTGGCCAAGCACAGATGGAGGTACATCGATCTCACTATGAGTCTACTCGAGGATCTCTTGTTTTCGATGTGTTAGGTCCAAGACATTTGCCCAGATTACTAAGTAGTTGAAACCACAATTGTCACCAGAGGGTCCAACCAATACAGGTTCATACCCATGCCAAAGACATATTCATAGTCATAGTGCTTTTTCCTCAAGTGCGCTGGTTGACACGTGAGGCCACAAGAGCACTGGGTGTTGCCCGTTTGTGGCAGAGGAAGCACGGATTGTGGCAACAGATTTGCAACCCACCGAAAGGGGCCACACCGCCTGTGTGGCACAAGTCCCAACCGCTGGTCGGCAGCATGCCCCCCACCCAAATGGGGACAATCCTGCAGTTAAGCAGGCTTTGAGATCTCCCAGGTCACGGTGTTGCGAATGAACTGCGACTTGTTTGCCCAAACATTCCCAAGGAATACAGCAGTGTGCCTGAATTTCACCCTTCTAACTCTTGCATGTTCTGCAATGTCAGTCAAAAGCAGGGTTATAAAAAGAGTTTTTACTTGGCAGCAACCATAATTCCTGTAATTAAATTGATCCAGCGCAACAAGCCACTTGCCGGATGTGGATGTAGCACTGCGCGGGGATGACTTAAGAGCAGTGCATCCTGTGTTAGATACTAAAGGTGTGCATTAAGTACTTCTATCACGTTGCTACGGCTGGTGCCCTAAATATAGCGAGGAAGAGAACAAGGACACCCTCCAGTTCACCGTAGTTTACCATGGATTTATGAGTGGGTATGGTTTACTTACTGCATATTGCGTTGCGTCCACCGTACTTCGTCTTAACCGTGTTGCAACTGCATGATGGCCAGTAAAGATGGGCGAGTGCCCCTGGAATCCCATGTTAAAGCCAATCCTGCCCACGAGAAAGAAGAATCCGTGAAAATGGGGGGAGCTACCAACCAGATATGAAGCAAGTAGACCAACTAAATCAACCACAGCATCGATGGAAATTACGGTTCGTTAGAGCATCGGTCCCTTTGTTCCCTTGCTTGTAAGAACGGCAAGTCCTTGCTGGATTGTTCCTTGCTTTACTACCCTATTTTGTTGCTTCCTTGTTCCCTTTGTTTGGGCGCATCTGAAAACAGGGGACCCTCCGAAACTGTTTTGGTTCTCCTTTGACCTCTCCTTTAAAAAAACACCCGGAAAATGAAGGGTACCCTCAACAAAAAAAACGCCCATGTTTCGCATACTTCGGGCATCCGGATTTCTCTCTGGTTGGGGAGTCGCCGTTCAGCCCAGCGTTTGCCAGGCGAACGCAGGGCAGAACGGCGACCTGGTGGCGGAGAAGGCGCGTGAAATCCTTTGCCGGTGAGAGAGGTACCCTCTAAAAAAGACATGCCCTTGTAGCTTCCCCTTTTCGAGTTTCCATTTTGAGTCCCAGCCCAAGGTGAGACTTTTGTTTATGGGTCCGAACTGGGCAACTATGGACATGTTTGATTTGTCTTAGTGGGGTCATAAGAATCCAGCATAAACGACCCCCGTTGATTGATAGGGTGTGTCCCATTGTAGAGTGGAGCCTTTTCTTTTAGGAGAACACCTCCCACTCATAATCCGCCAGGTTGATTTATCGGGGGTCGACGTTATGCATCTTGCATTGCCGCAGAAGCCTTTTCTTGGATGATGTCCGTGTCCATTAGGGGGCAATTGATTAAGACCCCAGAGCGGTTTCTCAAGACGAGTGTTTCTCCAACTAGGGACCAGGTGGAAATTGAAGTAACATGTGAATCAAAGCCCGCCATATGTGGGCCCCTGACATCGGAACCACCCATGCGACACGGTCAAAGATCCTTTCCTTGTTTGTAGACATGATCATCAACCGCTCGGAGTTTGGATAAAGTTTCAAGCGCAGCGCGGCTATGGCCATAGACCGGAGGATGGCCGAAATGAGACGGTACATTTGTCGGCTGTTCGGGAAGGACTTGGGGTCCTGCAGATGCCCCAAATGTGCCCCAAAATGATTCGAGCGAGTCCGAAAAGAGGCTTCGAGGGTGAAAGGTATGGATCTCCAAGCTAAAGGACGCCCCCCAAAGACCTCAACTGCGGGCATGCTTCAGTTTTCCCGGCTGAGCTGAGTATTCAACCAAGTTAGTACGCGGTTGCTGACCCAGCTTAGGACCTGCTTGGAAGTTTTTTTAGGTGGAGTTAGCCCAGCTTTAAGTAGGTTATGGCCAGAATCGTACCACTGACTAGCTTGGCAATGCACCTCCACAAATTGACTTCATTGTCAACCCTTGTAACTAGGGCAGCTAACAACTAATTAACCATTTAGCTTACCAGACAACCTAACCACCAATGGACAAATTCCAGCGCCTTGGATGAAACTTGTTTTGAATACCAATCCCAATCGCAATCAGTTGGTGCCGATCGATGTGCGTAGATTTTGTCACCATTCCAACTCCTCAGCTTGGGACGTGGGAGGTTTTTTTGTTCATCCCGACTAATGAAGGGACACACCAACAAACCGGGGTCTCCCTATTTTGCCACCTGGGAATCGGATATGGAGCTTCCAAACTGGATTCCAAACCTCTCTGGGTGAATTATCACGACCTCACACGACCTCACTCCAAATGGTGGTTGATGTGGGGAATATCCCCCAACCACCTCATTGGCTGGTGAAATCTTATTCACCCAGACCTCTGTTCAAAACCACTTCACAAAATACCGTTGCTCCCCAGTCACGCGGTTTCGGCCCGTGGCCAGGTGATGGCCGCGGAGTCCACAACCCAAGGCGAAGATTTCTCTGCCGAGTGCGTCGGGTGGGTTCGGTGGCTTTCTCTTGGCCCCAAAACGGCCAGCGGGGTTCGCCCCTTTGTGTTCTACTGGTTTTGATTGAAGGACCGGGGTGTGGTGGTTGGATGTGGGTCTGTTTTTCAGCTTGTTTTGGTTGAAGGACCGGGGTGTGGTGGTTTCATGTAGGTTTACTTACAACCTGTAGCCAGTGTTGTGGTTCCTACAGGCTTCATAAGCTGAGCTGCGCCCATTATTATCAGCAAGCTACTTGCTCAGTGGCCATTCAGACTGTCAGTGGAAACAGGGGAGCAAAGAGGATGTTTTTTGGGGAGCGTAGTTGACTCTACAGGGAACGGATCACAGGTGTTCCCTTGTTTTATTGCCTACTTTCAATATGTAGGCCATTCACCGTAACAAGAAGTTCTCCCACTGGCCATTTGTGAACCAAGCACCTTCAATTTTAGACTTTTCATGATGGAATGTTTTCCCTGGTTACTTACTAGAAAGGTAACTGGAAACAAACAGTTATTTGGCTTGGGCGTTTGCATTGCACCCTGGGTTTACTTCCTTGGGCGAGTCGAGAAATGACCAGCATGGCAACCAACACGACAAGGTGATTTTGTGCATGAGGGGAAAGGGGAAATAAAGAGTTCCCCCTTTGTGGGGACAAGGAAAATAACGTATGGGGGGAATCATCGGGAGGGCATGATCCATACATAGGGGAGTGAACGTCCCTTTGTCTTGATTCTCATTTTCCAAATTCGCTGGCAAAACAACACTGACTAATGTTCATAGATTGCTTTGAGCTCAACTAGGGAAAAAACAAAACCCCTTGTCTGGATGGATCCTTTTTTGGGAGACTTACTTTAGGATTGGACGCATTCTACATATTGCGGAATCATGTCTACCAACTGGATCACCATAGATTTCCCGCAGCTGGTTCATCTATGGTTGCCTGCCCCTCAACATTCGCTTTGCTGACTTAGAGCGCTTAGAGTTCCTGATTGGTGCTTTGCAAGTACCCCCACTCCCCTAGGGTTCAACTCCCTTTCAACAAAATGTGCCTCAATTTAGAGGATGTGCTTTCTTGTGTCAACTCCCATCGAATCGCAGTTTGATCCGCTGGGCCCCTTCAATACCCCTAGAGGGAGGCTGGATTCAGTAGCGCGCCTCGCGCCATCGCCAGGCTTTGATGCGCTGATGCTGGAGTATGGTGACATGCTGGAGCCGGGCGCTCGAAAAGGAAAACAAAGGACCGAGTCCAGACCTCCAGACGTGCCCATCTCCCCTTTTCAGGGGGAAGAGCTTTCACTTGAAAGTCAGCTACAACCCAAAAGCATTCTTCCACCAACTAGCATGCAACTCACCAGAGGGTCCATTTAGGAACATGGTCTTCCAGGAACCCCCAGTCAGGTTCGATGTTCGTCAGTGATGTCTGAGAACCGTTCTGCCAAAGCTCTGAAAAGTATTTCCTCAAGTTTAGGGGTTACCTTTGGTTTTTGCCTTCGTTCATGAGAGTGTGCATGGGTGAAAGCCCGCAAAGGGTGCCGCCGAGCAAGGCGTATAAAATGAACTGCTTTGGAAGCCAAAAGGAAACCCCATCATGTTTAGGGTGGTTCTTGTTTGATTGCCCTCCCACCAACAAAAAACCTGCCTTCTGGTGGGTTCCATGATGATGAAAGCGAGGGTACCCCAATTGGCAAATAAGCTCCACACGAGCATAGGTGTTTTTTGCTTTTGTTTTTTTCTTCGGAGGTATGCCACACTTATCATCTACAAGCGCGGGTAATAATAGTATATCATAATGCATGTCCCATGGTCAACATCTTGCCATTTGCAGATTTGGTCTCTTTTGTTCAGGTGGCTTGCAGTAATCATATGGTTTTGTTGGTTTGGTGTCGCTCTCGCTTGGTATCTTCCCCTTTCGATGAGAATTGTCACATGCCTTTGGCGTCGTCAAATATATATATATATATATATATATAGTACAGTATGCTACAAGTTATAGATACAGAAATCTCGCCAGGCTAAAGGAGGACGGAACATGTTGAACCCCGGACAAACAAGCCAGCCTTGATTCGCACCTTTGTAGTCGGTGAGCGTGAGTGTTTACGTGTACCTTTTGGGCAGCGGATGTGGCGCACCAAGCGAGTAAAGCATGATATGATATGTTCAACATGCCGGACTTGACTCGCCATTTTCAGCTCTTCGGGTTTCCTTTGGTGTCCTTTGCCCGCAAGCATTTCAGAGATGCTGCGCCTTTTGCTGAAATTCGCTCCGAGGTGTGGCATCATTGATCCAGCCAAGGCCCCTCGACAGATCGAGCGAGACGAAAGCCCGCGGGGTTTCTCGGGCGGTATGTCTGGGGCGAAATGTCCACTGCCAAGCCGCTGTATTTCTCTACCCGAAAAGCTGAGCCATGGCCATTGCCAGCCTTCATGGCTGGAAGGCACATGAAGCCATGAATTTCTGAATGAGTTTCAACCAAATCTGCAGACGTGGTTGGGCAATCGATTGGCGGCAGTTTCTATCTTTGCCCTTTACTACAAAGATTGCGATAGAATATATTTATATCTGAGATTTGAGACTGAAGCTTGACCCACTTCAAGAATCGCAGATTTTTGACCAACTTCGTGTACATGCTCCCAGTTTCACTTGTTTGGAATTTCTTCTGCACTTAGCCCAACTATTTGCGTTGGCCGAAAAACCGGGGGAGGGGGGGAGGGGTGAGGTGTTGCTGGGCTCAAGAAGGTTTGTTCTTTTCGCAGGTAGTGGAAGTTCAAGCCGGAAACTCAAAGCCAAGAGGGGTGCAGTCGAGTGGTTCTGTCACCCACGTGTAAGGGTTGAGTTGCCAGCAGCCAATCTTTGGTGCATTTGCCAAGGGATGTTGGGACTGAACAACTTTTGCCAACTCATTGGTTTTCCGTATGAAACGACTAAAAGTTAAGCTTTTAGCAGGGGAGCAGAAAGCAGCCGCGCAATCTTTCGACCTTCACGTTTGTGAAGTGTTGGTCTAGTTTTAGCGCCACAAGTCATATGTTGGCACACGACCTCTGGATTTGCTTTGGCCCCCCCTCAAAAAGCAAAGCCAAGGGTATCTAAAACAAGAAAGCCCAAGTACTCCGAAAGCCAGGCCTTTCATCAAAAATCTGACCTTCGTGGCTTCCGATAGTTGTTTCTTTTGTAGGTGTTCCCTTCACACCAACCTCACAGAGGGGCGATGCCAACTAAAAAGAAAGGACCTCCCCTTCAAGACAAGAGCCCAAGATGAAGTACCAACCTTTGAACAAAACACCAAGCCCATGAAAAATGCATCAAGAACCAAGCTTTTAACCACCGCACCCCTTGAAACCCAATGACTCGCCGCTTCGCAGGTGGCCCGTTCCGCGCTGCAGAACGCCAGCTCCATCGCCTCCATGATCCTCACCACAGAGTGCGCGCGGGGCTCGAGGGATAAGCGAAGCCTTTTTGAGGCGGCGTTTCAAGTCAAGTGGAGCCGAAGGCTTTTTTTTATTTATTTTCGTGTTGGATGTATTGGTGTGTGTTTTTGCTTTAAAGTTGGATGTGTCTTTTTGTTGGAGGTGTTTTGTTGCTGGTGGGGTTAATGTGAAAGTTAAAGAACAACTGCCTTTTGATAAGCCCCCTATCTGAAGGCTCATTAAGACTCCCAGATGCGATGGAGCGGGGGCCGCCAGTCTAACCTGAAGAATCGACCACCTGGTGGATATTTCGTTTTTTTGTTTTCAAGTGATCCGGATCCTCTTTAAAATGAGCCCCCCTATCTAAATCAATCAGCGTCTTTATTCAACTCATTTCCCATGAGTCATTCAAACCAAACAGATTCAAGATCAGGTTTGTTTTTATTCTTCAGGGATGCCTTTCTGAGGCGGTTTCAAATCCATGTTTTTTTGACATTTCTCTGTCTGGGGGTCCCTGGGCAACATGAAAAAGGATAATATTTTGGTCTTCCAGGGCGTGCAAGCTATTTGGATGGTCTGGTTGACGGCCAATTGACGATGGGTGAACGTGGGGTGCGCAGGGTTGACTGGAGGTGGACTGGGATGCGTTCCAAATGATGTGTCCCCAACATGTCAGACTTTACTTCTTGTGCCGCCTGGATGGCGATCGCCCCTTGCCAACAAACAAGGCGAATACCGGGTCATTCTTTTGACGGTTTCTGGGGGTGATCAAAGTCAGAAAATGGAATTGGTTGTTTTCCTTCAACCCACCACTTAGGGAGTGACTTTGATCATGGTAAAAAAATGAGGCCATGAAGAGGAAGCTCACGCCACATAGCAGCGAAGTATACCCCGACCCAAGCTAACATTGAAGCTCTGGGGCCCTAGGAATAGCTGCCCTTCACCATGTTGTCAAACCAACTCGAACGACGACATGAGTCGTATAATCATGTGCCTGCCAAGGATACCACCAAACAAGCGGGTATCCGGGTCTGTCAGCAAACATGGAATATCCCACAATTGGAATGTCTCCATCGTTTGCCTCAACGGCAACCAAAAAGAGGCTCCCCCAGCAAGACAATCAGCTGGAGGCGGGGGTTACTTGGATGGTCCGGGAGAGTTAACTAAGTGGTTTGTAAACCGCAGTTGACCCGAGTTCGTTCAGTCACGCTTTGCGGACAGGGGGATGGCTGGAAAACTAGGGGCACATTTAGTATTTGTCAATTTGTTCTATGCCCATGGGTAACACAGCTTTGACCTTCACTCACACATGGCTGTGGGTCAAAACCAATGGTACCATTTTGGGGTAAGTGCACCACCCAATTTAGTCTATTTTAGTGGGGATTGGGACGTTCACTGGGGGTACGGGGTTTTGACCCATAGCCACAGAAAGGCCAGTGTTCCAGTGTTGAAGGCCTGATGCCAACTAGCAAGTAGTCGGTCACTCTTTAGGTGAGTTTGTTGCTTTGCGCACACGTGCGTCTAGTTCTTTGCAGGTGCTCGTCACCCACGAACTTCAGGGGTTTTCCCTTGGTGGATTGTCTGCTTTTGCCAGTGTTCTCGCTGAGGTGGTCGTGGATGCGGATAGCAAGGAGGACGACGATGATGACGGCGAGGAAGATTTTGACGCCAGCCTTGCCTGTTTGACTCGCAGAGTGGTCAGTCTTCGAAGACCTTCCTGTCCATGTTTGGAAAGTGAGTGGTTGCAAAACTGAATGGCCCCCTGATGTTGCCTGGCACAAACCTTCAAAGGTTGCAAGAGGACCATGCGGTCGCACTCAGTGTTTCAAGAGTCGCCTTTGGGGCACAGGAGCTGTCACGGCGGATTTATGTTAAGGATTCAGGAACTCATGCCCATTTATCAGGGGATCATCACTTTTCCAGGGCTCACCCCGTTTCCGTCAGCCAGGTGGATCAATTTGGTGTCGATTTCCACCAAACTCTGTAGGATCCCTCTGAAGTGGGTTTGTCATACAATTAGCGAACCCCATGGTGGTTTTCCTTTTGGTGTCCCCTAAAACCACAACCACAAGGGCGTTTGTTTCTAATGGTAGAGCGTAGCGGTGCCATTTCATGAATCACCAATATGAGCCAGTATGCTCCCTGCCATTTTGGCTCAAGTCTGTTTGGGCGTTGCCTATTGAAAAACCTGTAGCATTCTCTACCCCTCTAACTTCACTCACCATGTCTCGCTCGGAAGCCAGCTTGGACTCCTTCGAGTTGGTGGACACCGCGCTGGTGACGGAGGAAAAGGAGGTAGCGGCCAAGGAATCTCAACGCCTGCGACTCAAAGAAGCTGAGGCCCGCCTGGCCTTGCAGCTGCCACGCTTGGACTTAGAGGCACAACCCAGCGACCTCCGTGAGAAGATGTCGCGGCTTTCGGACAGCATTGCAAGCTTGCGCTGTCTCGGGAGGTCACCCCACCTTCAATCAAGCGCGGAGCGTGGTGTCTAA